ATCGGATCAGCCGTTTAGAAATGCCAGATTTATTTCCAAAAAATTTCCATTCTGCCCCACTGTGCAATATTAGATTTAAAATTTAGTTTAATTTTAATTTTAAGTTCAGATCTAGGCTTTACAATTTAGATTTAGTTTTATATCTAGGCTTTAAATTTAGAATTTAAATTTAGCTTTAGTTTTAGATTTAGGTTTAAATTTAAGTTTTAAAATTTAAAATTTAGATTTAGCTTTAGTTTTAGGTTTAAATTTAAATTTAGCTTTAGGTTTAGATTTAAATTTAGCTTTAGTTTTAGGTTTGAATTTAGGTTTAAATTTAGAATTTAAATTTAAATTTAGCTTTAGTTTTAGGTTTGGATTGAGGTTTAACTATATGCACTCAAATTTATGCTTGCGTTTCAAAAGTTCATAATTTCGCTCGGGGATAAACCGGATCTGGCAATTCTTTTTCTGCGGCAACTAGCTGGTTTACGGGAGGCAATTATAGAGCGGGAAGAGTTCTTTTGGCTGATGAGGCTTTCCTGTCCGTCCGTATTAGGGTCCGTTCGGGTAAACCAGGTACATAATTGAACATATATTTTAAGTTAACACACCTTTTAAATAATTTTGCTTGTTTTCACAGGTTTTTTTTTGTTATAAATATATATGGCTAAGACCACCTGAGATCTCAAAATCACGCGTTACTTTGTAAGAGGCCTGAGCTCAACCCTGTTCGCGCACGTTTGGAAAAAAAAAAAAACGCAAACGGAATGGATTCGATACGATGAATGATAGGTAAGCCTAGCAATACTAATATATATTTATTTAGTCTAACCTTTCCTTTTTTTTATAGAAAATTATTTAAAAAGGACACTCGTCCGGTCCGTCTTGTCGTCCGGGTGCAAACTCACAGAAGGTCGGAAAACCAAAAATTATACCAGAGCACCCCAGGCGTGGTGGTGCTGGAAAACAGCTTCTCCCTCGTTGGATGGAGTCGGTGTTGAAGTGGCTTTGCAGGTTTGTGTTTTGCTTTGTTTAATTTAAAATTTAGTTTTAAGTTTAGTTTTAAGTTTAGCTTTAAGTTTAGCTTTAAGTTTAATTAATTCTTTTTTTTTTAATAAAATTGATTTAATTTATATAAAAAAAATAAAATCAAAAATTTAGTTTTTTTTTATGATGAGGCCACAGACTCCACCTTCTTCTTCTCTCCGAGCAAAAATCAAAAAGGACCGACATTTTTTTCTTTTGGCATCTAGAAACCTCGGTTACCAATATGGCTTCAACCAATTTTCAGCAATTTGTTTGCCTACATAAAATTTTTTCCTAATGCTATTTGTTTTTGTTTTTATTCATCTTCTTCTTTCCAAAAAAAAAATCCCTTTTTCATTGTGTTGCCACCTGTTTAAGTTTCTTCTTCTTCTATTCAGTAGCTCTATTACAGGGTGCACACGACAAACCCCACCACTCCTGTTATCCATCCCTGGATACAGGATGGGAGGGAAAAAAAGCACCCTAATATTTCTGAACTACCCTAATGTCCTAAAACTTTTCTGGGATTTTGGGTATTTCATTATTCCCATACAAAAAATTTGCACTATGGCAACCCTTATTCATTCGAGAACGAAAGTACAACTCTGTACCGCCGTTAAAAACTGGCCAGGCGGCGACGTACTGTGAACAGCTGCTTGAATGAATGGAAGAGGAGGAGGCAAATAAGAAAAATACTACGCGTGGGTGAAGAAGAAGCACCCAAACAAAAAAATATCAATGGATACAACGAGGTAAGTAATTCTTTTGTTAATAAACAATAAAATAATAAAAGTATTAATTTAAATAGTTTAAAACAATATAATAATTGTTTCTTTTGTTTCTTTACAGGTTCTGGTGGATTTCTATGGCCGTATAAGGGGATTTTAAATAAGGTAAGTAACAAAAACATAGTGATAGAAAAATTTATTAGTGGTGTTGTTAACTAACACAACCAAATTTTTTTCTTTTCTTTACAGGGATCATGTTGGCTGCCTTGGGCCTATATAAAAAAAACTTGATGGCCGATTCTGAAAGATGGCGGATCGAAGCAGAATGAAATGGTAAGTAAAAAAAAAAAATGTGGAAATTATTATAAATATTTATATAAAATTTTCTAATAATTTTGTTTTAAATTTTTCAGGTTTTGTTCCAGATGGGCCAGTGGACTAGGGATTAAGGTGGTTCCGGGAATTTAAGGTAAGTGTAATGGATTATATTTGAAATATAAAAAGTGGACTTTAGTGAAAATTAAAATGTGGTTCGGTGCAAAAAAAAAAAAAATTTGGTTACAGTGTGCGTCAAAAGTGTGAGTGCCGTGTAAAAAAAAAAATTTTAATCGAATAAAATAAAAAAATTTTATAAATTTAAAATAATTTCGGTTCGGGTTTTGGAAAAAGTGAATTCGGGTAAAAAAAAATATTTTGGAATTTACAGTGCGTGTAAAAAGTAAACGGAAAAAAAAGTACTTGAAAAAGTTTTAACAATCGTTTCGTGTAGAATAATTAAAAGTGAAAATGTTAAAGAAAAATTATTTGATCGGAATTTACAGTGAGTGTCAAAAGTGTTCGGACAAAAAAATTAATTTAATGAAAAAAAGTTGGAAAAAAGAAAATTGTTTAAGAAATTAGAGTGGTTCTGAAAAGTGACAAAAAAATTTTAAAATTTAAATTTGGAAGATACAGTGAGAACAAAAAGTGAAGTGACAGTGAAATATTTTTTTTTTTCTTCAAATACAGTGGGTGTAAAAAAAAACGTGAAAATTTTTAGTGACTGGATCTAATAAGCGAGACCAACGGAAACTAAAGTTTGAAAATTTACAGTGGCCATCAGAATTTGTGAATCAGTTAAATTTAAAACAAAATTATTTGTGTAAACAAAAATGAAGTGAACCGTGACCAAAACCTTTTGTAACCAAAACAAAAGAAAAATTAATAAAGAAAACTCTAAAAAAATCAAACCAATCCTAAATGGATAAAATAAAAGAAAAGTGAAAATAAAATTATTTCTCCGATTAAAATATCTTTTGCTTTAATTCAAAATTAATAATTTTATAAATTTTCTTTTACTTTCAGCTAATAAAATTCAATTGGACCTGGGATTTGGCCTTGGTTGCTGCTTCCGTTCAGGAAAGGTAAGTAATAAACCTAAAACTAAATAATATATAACGAAACATAATTTCACTTATATTAAGTTTTTTCTTCATATTCACGACTTAATCGTAGGAATTTGGTAGAAATGTAAGGACTAAGTTCACCAAAGCTCATAGACTAACGTCTAGAGACTTTGGCGAGAAATACCCCTTACAATTTCTCCGGAAATAAAAGTAAAAATATTCAAAAATAAAATTATTTGTGTAAACAAAAATGAAGTGAACCGTGACCAAAACCTTTTGTAACCAAAACAAAAGAAAAATTAATAAAGAAAACTCTAAAAAAATCAAACCAATCCTAAATGGATAAAATAAAAGAAAAGTGAAAATAAAATTATTTCTCCGATTAAAATATCTTTTGCTTTAATTCAAAATTAATAATTTTATAAATTTTCTTTTACTTTCAGCTAATAAAATTCAATTGGACCTGGGATTTGGCCTTGGTTGCTGCTTCCGTTCAGGAAAGGTAAGTAATAAACCTAAAACTAAATAATATATAACGAAACATAATTTCACTTATATTAAGTTTTTTCTTCATATTCACGACTTAATCGTAGGAATTTGGTAGAAATGTAAGGACTAAGTTCACCAAAGCTCATAGACTAACGTCTAGAGACTTTGGCGAGAAATACCCCTTACAATTTCTCCGGAAATAAAAGTAAAAATATTCAAAAATAAAATTATTTTGAAAAAAAAAAGAAAAATATATATATAAAGTGTAATTTTCTAAAAGGAATAATAAATAAAAATGATTTGAGCTTGGAATTCAGTTTGTCCTTTTAGAAGATTACAAAAAGCTAGATTAAATTAATTCAACTAATTATATTTTATTTCTCTTCCACAGGTTATAAATTCAGATTGGACCTGGACCGGAAGCTTGAATGCGGTATATGACCCCAATTATTATTCTAAAACGTAAATACTAACTAATACTGAACTTATCTAAATCAAATGATTAGATATTGAAAATGACTTGTATCATCAAAATTTACTTTAGACCAAATACTAATAGTTTTGTTTTTCCTTTCACAGGTTGAATCATCAAATTTTGGTTCCTGAAGAAAATCAACAATACCAGCCAACTGTAAGATCGAGAGGAAAATTTCTCCAATCAACGAAAATTTTAATCGGTAAGTGAAAACTTTAAATTTCTATTATTAACATCTAATTTTAAGTTATTCTGTTTAGTCTAATATTAGATTTAGTATTTAAATTAGATTTAAAAGCAAACTATAGATATATTGCCTTATTTCGTGATCGTTAAGATCATAATGTTTTCCATTAGAAAAAACTATTTTGCCAGGAATAGTTCGTGTTGTGAGAACAACATACCGTAGTGATAGATTTCCCTGTTAACGAGTAATTCACGTGTTTCTACCCGAAACGCTTGTTGGATACTCGTCGCAGCTTTGCTCCCAGACAATTCAAATTGCCAAATTTTAGTCAGCTAATAATTCCTAACCCTGAGCGCATGGTTCCAAAGGGTGCTATGACGGAATTGCATCTATGACTAGCGTCTGACGATCACAACGTGGTCATAAACGAAAATTAATATATTTAGTCTGGTTGAGCACTCGGCGAACTACTCGTTAACGGGCAAACTATCACGACTGTTTACTGTTCCACAACACAAATGAACTTCCCTGGTCGTAGGCTTTCACTAAAAAAGAAAACAAAGTGTTAAATATAATCAAGGCAAAATATCATTAACAAAATGTTTTGTGTAGAAAGTATCTACTAACTCATTTATACAAAATACAGAAAAAAAAATAGGTTTTATCATTTTGGTTCGAGCTAGGAGTAGGTATAATCGTTGGGACTAGAACCACCAAAGATGTTGAAACTATTGTTTCAAATCTTTGGCATGAAATACCCCCAACGATTTTCCTTGAAGGTCTTCAACCTCGTATAGGCTATTACCAATAGGTCTGACAATTCGGCATTTTAAAAATTTCTTGGCTAGTTTAGCATTAAAATTATTTTTGAAATCGCTTTGCTGAAAGTTGCGGCGATAAACCTCTTGACCTGGTACAAACTTGACTTGACGGCAACGAGTATTGTATGTCTTCTCGTTTTTCAAATATGCTTTGTGCAGATTCTCACGAATTTTGTGCCGTACTAAGTCCATTTTTACGGGTTTTGGTACTATGTCGATTTCCGGATCATGAAGACATTGTAGTTTCTTCGCAAGCTTATATACACTTCCGTGCGAAATCATGTTCATACCGAACAGTGCGAAGTACGGCGTAACCCCAATAGACGTTTGGACTGACGACCGCAGCGAAAATTCAATTTCGGACAGGTACTTATCCCACTCAGTGTGATCCTCCTGTAGGTAGGAACGAATTGCGGACAGGATGGACTGGTTAACCCGTTCCGAAGCGTTGGCTTGTGGCGAGTGTGTGGCAGTTTTTACATGCTTTACGCCAAAATTCATTACCATATCCTGAAACTCTTTACTAGTAAACTGCTTGCCATTATCAGACAAAATCGTCTCAGGTGTACCAAATTTGTGGAACACTTCAGATATTAAAAACTTAATGACGTTTTTCGTGTTAGCTTTCGGCATAGCTCTGAGCAGTACATATTTCGTTAGGTGGTCTAGGACGATGAATATGTATGCGTTTCCGTTTCTTGACCGTGGATAAGGCCCCAAAAAGTCTATAAAGATCTTCTGGAACGGTCGTTCCGTTGTAGATTCAGCTCCCATTGGTGGTCTTAGGATAGAATTCGCGGGTTTTGTCTCGCGACAGGTTTGGCATTTGGCCACAAATGATCGGACCTGAACATTCTGGTTGGGCCAGTAGAAATATTCCCTTAACCTTCGGAGCGTTTTACCAAAACCTCCATGAGCGGCTTGAGGCGGATTGTGGCACTTCGCAATTACTTCTTGCGTAAGCTCTAGTGGAACCCATAACTTCCAGGCAAAATCTTCGTTTAGCGGCACCCCGTCATATGGGAGGACCCGCTTATAAACCAGGTCATCCACGACCTTCAAATCAGGCAGGCTTTCAGCGTTTTCCTTGATTTTGGCGATTAAGTCCAGGTAACTTTGACCTTTGAAATACTCAGACTCTAAATCTATTAAATTATTTACCTCCACAGATACTTCCTCCATGTCATATCTCGACAGGGTGTCGGGAACGATATTTTTGGATCCGGGCCGGTGTTCGATGGTAAAGGTAAAGGCCTGTAGATGTAAGCTCCATCGGGCTAGTCTGCCACTGAGGTCTTTGTGGGACATAAGCCATTTTAGGCTGCTATGGTCCGTGATGACTGTAAATGGCAAAAGTTCTATATAAGGCCGGAATTTCTTAATGGCCATCACTACGGCCAAACACTCTCTCTCGGTAACCGAGTAGTTCTTCGTGCACTGGTCAATTTGTGAGAGAAGAAGGCTACTGGATGTTCGCCGTCGTTTTCGTCCTTCTGGAACAGAACTGCTCCCAAACCTATGTCTGATGCATCGCATTGGACATAAAAGTGCCTGTTGAAATCGGGATGCATAAGCACTGGTGCTGTTGTGAGGGCGGACTTTAGCTTGTCGAAGGCTTCCATAGCTTCGTCCGGAAAGTTGAAACCTTTTCCTTTCTTAAGGGTGTTAAAAATAGGTGTTGATATGGTAGCGTAGTCGGGGATGAAGCGCCTATACCAACCCGTAGCTCCCATGAAGCTTCGGACCTGTTTGGCGGTTTTCGGGTAGGTATATTTTAAAATCGTATCGATCTTATCTGGGTCAGGTTTTAACTTCCCTCCTCCTACTATGTACCCTAGGTACTTCAACTCTTTGAAGCAAAATTTCGACTTCCCTACGTTGATGGTCAGACCCGCCGAATCCAGGCAATGCGCTACCCGATCCAGCAACTCCAGGTGAGTCTCAAAGTCTGGAGATACGATCAAAAGGTCATCTAGATAGACGAAAACTCTATCACGAAGTGCTGAAGGGATCACTTTGTCCATCAGACGACATAACCTTTGGGCTGCGTTACACAACCCGAAAGGCATGACCGTGAAATGGTAAAGTGGTCGCCCCGGCACCGTGAATGCAGTCTTCTCCCTACTAGATGCATCTAACGGTATCTGCCAGAACGCGTCTTTGAGATCCACGCTGGATATGAAGAACGTATCCCCTAACCGACTGAGCAGACCTTCGATGTGCGGCAGCGGATAGGCGTCCTTGACCGTGAGGGCATTTAGCTTACGAGCGTCCAGACACAATCGGTTCTTCTCGCCCCTACGGACGAGAGTAACCGGATGGCTCCAAGGACTCTCGCTCTGCTCTATGACCCCAAGCTCAAGCATCCTATCCAGCTCTGCATACATTAACTTCTGCACAGCCGGTGAGACGGGATAATGCCTGTCCTTCACTGGGATCGCGTCGCGGGTATCGATTGTATGGGTTTCGAGGGAAGTCTGACCGAGTCCCTTCTTTGAGAAACACGAGAATTTTGCTACCACCACATCTAATGCCGCCTTTTGCCCAGGAGTAAGAATATGGGTTTTGGTTACATCCTTCGTCTCCTCAGACTCCGGACACAAATTAACCCCGTTAGTTGTAATGCTACATATACTAGGAAACAGACCGAAACTTTTCATAAAATCTACCCCTAAAAATAGAGGCCTATTTAAAGTAGGTACTAGATATAGAGTCACTTCATTAGAACAATTATTAAAATTAACTTTGGTTTTTACTCGTCCAACAATTCTGTGTGGACTGCCATCGGCAGTTTTTACATAGGACAAAAATTTAAAAACTTTAAGACCGGATTCCTCCACTAACTCCATGCAGCCCTTACCTAAGCAAGACACCGTGGCTCCACTGTCTAACAGACCATCAATCTCACAACCATTTATATTAATCTTTAGATAAAGTCTAGCATCCTTGCCCTCATACAAACTCGTAGACAAAATTTCATTCTTGATCTTCTTTCTAATTTTATACCTAAGTCTAGCTTTCTGAATTCTATTCGATACTTGACCAAAAATCCTAGATTTTGCTTCAGCGTATTCCCGAATTCTTTGATGAAGCGGTTTAATTATATGGACTTTAGGTTGTTCATCGGCAGGCATTATGCGTGCATTATTAACTAGAATTTTAGACGGTCTAAAGTGTTCGATACCATGGTCAACCGGGATTAAGCTAGGGTTGAACGAGTCTCCCCCGTTTGGGACTCGCTCCCCTTCAGGTTTCCCTGACATTTAGGGCACTTAGGCGTGACTACGTCATCCCTACCACATCTAAAACAAAATATGCGTCTATTAGGTGAAGGACAATCCACGAAACTATGGCCTGGCTGCTTACAATTCCAGCAAATATACCAGCTACTAGTGGCTAAGGCGTCGATTTCGAGGATTGGTATAGGCACTTCATCTCCAAACTGGAGTTCATGGACTCGAGCTGGGGCGGGTTGTCTAGACTGGAAAGTCTGCCTCTGACTGGTGATTAAATTTTCAGCTCTTTTCGCCTGTTGACAGAACTCATTGAGACTAGAAGTGGTCACGGAAAATAGTAGATGTGACAATGACGGCTTTAGATTACCTTTCATAATCTCCACTAGATCTCGTTCTGAATAGGGATTTCGCTGTTGATTTCTTAGCTTCATCACACCATTGTAAAAACTTTCAAAGCTTTCCATCGGCATTTGGCGACGATCCATAATTTGTTTTTGTAACTGGAACTCGTTCTCAAATCTTCGGAACTGGGTAAGGAATGCTCCCACCAACTCATCCCAGGACTGTATTGGCCTTAACTTACGTAGGTTCCAATACCAGTCCAGCGCCTGGCCTTCTAGCAGATGATGAAAACCTCGTAGGACGTCATTGAACGCGCAGTTGTAGTCCTGTCTTAGAACGTCTACTCGAAAAATGAAATCTTCAGCACTCATGGACTTCCAGGTTCCGTCGAACTTAATACCCCATTTGGACAAATCCACTTTTCTTTGAACGGCGAATGCGCCGTCAGTAGGCCAACTGGGAGCTTGTGAGGATTGAATTGGTGCTGGAAAAACTGGATTCGCATTTGGTGGTACATAATGCGGCTGTGCGTTAGATGCTTGTCCTTGGGTTGGTTGAAAATCATTTTGCAACTGGTAATTACTAGCAGGTATGTACAATTGAGGTTGATGTAGTTGATTCGTTACTAAATTGTTTCCTTGCCTAACAGGTGGTTGCTGCTCTACAGGCTGATGGTTAAACACTGCATTTGGCTGCCGAACAGATGTTCGCGGCTCCGTTGGTTGAAGGACCGATATCGGCGGATTAGCTGGAGCAGCAGCATTGCCGAATTCCTGTTGCAATTCGGTTCGCAACTGCCGTATTTGCCGTTGCAACTCCTCCCGCACAAAAGTAAACATATCGCCTCCTGTGGTGACGATGTTAACAGGTTGAGGAGCTGTCGGCGGGACATTTGCTCGAAACTCTTGTTGCACATTCCTGGCGGTGATACTGCTGTAGCCAGGCGATGTAATCGTGCTGTTGGAGATGGCAGACTCATTTAAAAACCCAGAACGTTCATGGGCCATAGACATGAATTGTTGGACCGCCGGCATGACGGTCGATGCAGAGGTAGTAGTTGTCGTAGCTGTGTTGGCAATCGTATACGTCGGATGCGCCGTAGGAACTACAGTTCCTGCAGTCGTGCGTGTAATGTTCTCCATATTGGAAATATTATTATGCTCAGTTTGTACACGAGTCCTAGCCGAGCGAGTTAAGACCATTCCTAATGAATAGAAATCTAGTTGGCGGAATGACCCCACAATAAAAACTCAACCAAAATAACAAAATATAATAAAATATAAAATTGAAGATTCGTATATATAACAGACCGCTAGTAAAAAAAACTATTTATCTCTATGATAAATATTAGCAAAATACTAGAAGAAATTCCTCCTCTTTCCCAAAGGAAAACTAAAAAAAAAAAAATCAATTCTAAAGAAAGGAAGTAAAGATTCAAAAACTAAATCCAAAACGTTCGTAACGACAAAGCTAAAACGTTCTACAAAAAACTCAAAATCCAAATCCAAAAGAACCAAAGATAAATCTTGAAATCTCAAATTAAATAAAATCTTACTATCGGCGGTGTATTTCAGGAAAGTAAAGTTTGCAGGTAATGTAAAAAATGTATAATAGTTGGTTTCAGGAGATGCAGACAAGAAAAAACTAAAATGGATAAAATTTTAGTAGTTGTTTCCCACAGAAAAACTTTTAAAGGTGCAACTA